TTTTAAAAGAATATAAATGAAAAGATAAAGCGTAGAACTTTAAAATACGTAACAAAATCCATACACGATGTCTAGTCTAAAACTAGAATCTGGTATTACAAGTACATGAGCTGCTAAAAGTGCTACAAACAAGGTCTGAAAGGAAAATACAACTGTCAAAATGAAATAAATAGTACAAAGATAAGAAGGGGACTTCAAGGTCTACGAATGCCGTACAACTCTACCTCAAGTCTCCGGATAATGACAATTAGAGCAATTCTTCACTAAGTGCCACTATGACTAATACCAAAATCTGTACAAGAAGTGCAGAAGTGTAGTATGAGTACAACCGACCTCATGTACTCCGTAAGTGTCGAGTCTAACCTCGAGAAAATAGTGAAGAGGATATAACAAGACACTCACTATAAACCTATACGAGTATAAGTAAAACAACTTCATAATTAAGAAACATCCATTAACATGAAAAACGAAACATAAAATACACAACATAGGGCCCCAAAATATCATCTAAGCTCAAATTCACATCACAACACGGATACGGGACCAACAACCAAGAATAATCTTAATATATCTTCTCCATGGCGGCGCACAACTCGATTCACACATTTATATATACCAATACCATTACAACATGCAATCCGATCCCATATACAATATCAATATCCGTTGCGGCGTGCGACCCAATCCCATATATAATTTTAATATCCATCGTGGTGTACAACCGGATCCTAGATATTTTATTAGTATCGTTGCGGCGTGCAACCCAATCACAAATATCATATCAATATTTGTTGCAGCGTGAAACTTGATCCCATATGTATAGTAATACTACAAACAACTACGACGTAGCTCACAACATATGAGAAAGGAACCAAAATATGTAAAATACTCTAAGGCAAATCAGTATAACAAACCAAAGTGAAATAAAAGCAAGTGAAGGTAAATAGACAATAAAAGGCATAGAACAAGTAAAGACATGAATGCATGGAACATGTAGAAAAAGAGAGCATACATCAAGGAAGAAATGTATTTAATAAATAAGATAAGTAACAATGAAGGCATGACATGAATAGTAACACAGAGTAAAAGAAGGCATGACATAGTTAAAATGCACAGTTAAAAGCCCACCCCACATGCTTAAACATATGACTACATGTCACCTTGCATATACGTTGTGCCCACGCATAAAATCAAGTAGCAAATAGACCAATCAAGTACTAATTCTCTCAAGTCAAGATTAACCACAATACTTACCTCTTTTTAGAATCAAATTAACAATCAATCATGGCCTTTCCTTTAGAATAAACCTCCAAACCAACCAAATCAAGTCAATTATCGTTCAAACAATTCAAAACAAACTTTAAAAACTACCCACGAATGAAAAAAGTTTAATTTGGATCATATTTGAAAAGTCAATAAAAGTCAACCACAAGCCCGCTTGGTCGAAATCCGATTACCCATTCACCCTCGAGCCCGGTTATGTAATTTGTTTTAAAATCCGACCTCGATTCAAGGTTTAAATCTCAATTTTATAAAATTTCTAAATTCTACCCAAAATTCCTAATTTCTACCTTGAAATTCATAGATATGATGAAGAAATTCATAGAAAAGTAATTGAAATTGATATAAAATGAATTAGAGTTGCTTACCAATGAATTTGGGAAGAAAAAGCTCTCACGAAATTGCCTTAATAAAATATAGGGTTGAGAAATGGTGTAAAATGAGCTAAGTCTCGTTTCCCCAACTTTTACCCAGTCGCAGATGTCTGCGATGTTCGCAATTGAAAATTACTGATCGCAAAAGCGACCAGCACAACAATGCCCCTGAAGTCACAAATGTGACTATCCCTTCGCATTTGCGAAGTGCCTCCCTCTCGTAAATGCGGAATAACGCTTCGCAAAAGCAAAGCTATCCCCTAGCTACCTACATCGCAAATGCGACCACCCTCATGTTCGCAATTTCAACCCTGACTTTATATTTGCGAAGTCCTCTGTCCTAGCCCAAATTTCGCAAATGCAAGACTGGATTCACAAAATCGAAGCTCGCATTTGCGAGCAGGTCTTCACATTTGCGAGATCTGCAGCCCAGCTGCACCAGAAAGTGCATAAGTTGTTCAAGACCTTCCAAACCATATCCAAAAGTCATCCGAGCCCATCAGGCTCCAATCATAACCTTGACACAAGTATATTAACATTATACAAACTCATTCGCTAACTCAAATCATCAAAATAACATCAAATATCAAGATTCGATCATCAAAACTCAAAATTTCAACTTTGAAACCCAGTTTCCAACTTTTTACATAATGCACCGAAATGCGCTCGGGTCACTCGGGGCTCCAACAAAATGTGCGCACAAGTCAAAAATATCATACATGTCCACTGAAATCATCAAAATACCTATTCGAAGTCGTTTACTAAGAACGTTGACCGTGGTCAACCCAAACCTTATTTTAAGTGAAAAATCACTTTGTCTTCAAAATTTCATATAGAAACTTTTTGAAAAATAACACGGACCACGAAAGCAAGTCATAAATCATCAAATGGAGCTATGAGAGGTCTCGAAATATAGAAATTAAGGCTAGTACTCAAAACGACCTATCAGGTTGTCACAGGAAGCAATAATAAAGCCAAAGCAACTAAAAAGCAGGTGACTGATAGATGCTACAAATGTGGAAAAACTTATCACATAACCAAGAACTATCCTATGTGGGATATTGAGTGGAAAAATGAGAGAGAGAGAGATGAACAAAGCAACAGGAAGAAGGAATAAGTTCAACCGAAGAAGAGCTACAACAAAGGATCAACCAAAGCAATGGTTGCTGCTTGGAAAGATAGCTCAAATGATGGTTCTGATAAGGATGGCGATGATAATGAATGAGCACTTATGAATATTAGAGAATCTAAAGAAGAACCTTTTGAAGAACCTGAGGTAAATTTCCTTGAATTAAAAGATAAATCAAATTCTTTCTAAAGAAAGATTATCTGAACTACTGCTAGCTTTAATTGATGAGTGTGAGGATGTAAGTTCTGAAAAGCAATCAAAGGAGCGTGTCATGTTGAAAGAATATTGCATAAAACTGGAAATTAGGGCTTGTGAAACTGAAAAAGAAAATATTGTCTTGAAGAACCAGATTCATTCACTTGATACAGATGTCTAAAACTTAGATCTGAAATTCTGAAATTGAATTTAGGAACATGTAAGGAAATAGCTAGTGATATACTGCTTGCACTAGAAGAAGATTTAAGAAATGTAGAAAATGAGTTTTACAAAAAGGATGAACATGTGAGAGTTTTGAGAGAGGACTTGACAAAGGGTAAACATAAATTTGATAGAAAATGTAAATGGAATAGGTCATCTTATGCACTTTCATGGCTACAAGAATACCATATTAACAACAGAAAGGGACTTGGCTTTGGGAACTCTACACCTAGATGGAATCCCAAAAGTAAGTACCTAACACTCCCTGAGAATAATATTTGCACTCACTGTGGTAACAGTGGATACTATAAGAGTGAATGTGTAGCAAAAGAAAGAGCAAGTTTAAGGAACACAAATTTTGTTCTAGGAAGAATAGGCTGCCAAGTTGGATAAAGAATAATCTGATTTATCCTTTTGCCTATAGAAAGGGACCCAAACTAGTTTGGGTTTCTAAGACCAACCCCTGATTTTCTTATGCCGGTCCAAGTGAAGGAGAACAATCACATATGGTACATGGATAGTGGTTGCTCAAAGTACATGTCAGGGAACAAGAACCAGTTCCTTTCACTTGCGGCCTGTAAAGGAGGTAATGTCTCTTTTGAAAATAGAAAGAAAGGTGAGATCATTAGAGTTGGGAAGGTAGAAAAATCTGATTCTCACTCAATTGAGAATGTCTACCTGATAGATGGACTGAAATACAACCTGATAAGTATCTCACAATTGTGTGATAGAGGAAATATTGTAGCTTTCACATCTACATATTATTTTATAATTAATATTACCACTGATAAAATAATTTTGCGGGAAAGAAGAGTGGACAATATATATGTGGTGGATTTGTCCACACTTTCAGATAATGAACTCACTTGCTTGAGTGTCATGGACAGTGATCCCCTCATTTGGCATAAGAGACTTGGACATGCTAGTCCAAGTCAACCCAACAAACTAGTCTCTAAGGACTTGGTGATAGGGCTTCCTATGATTAAGTTCAAGGAATATAAAGTTTGTGAGGCTTGTGCAAGGGCGAAATAAGTAAGAACTTCTTTAAAAAGTAAGAAAATGGTGAGTACTACAAGGTCGATGGAACTGGTCCATATAGATATATGTGGAAAGAACAATGAGTAGAGGTGGTAAGAGATATGTTATGGTTCTTGTTGATGATTACTCTAGATTTACTTGGATATTATTCTTAACATCTAAAGATGAAGCATTCTACATGTTCACTTCATTTGTTAGAAAACTCAAAAATAACTAGGTAATCGACTTGCATCAATTAGATCCGACTATTGTACTGAGTTTGATAATGTTAATTTTTCTTATTTTGTGATAAGGATGGCATAGATCATAATTTCTTTGCTCCTAGAACTCCACAACAAAATAGAGTAGTTGAAAGAAAGAATAGGACTTTGGAGGAAATGACTAGGACCATGTTACTTGCTAGTAAGTTGCCTCATAGCTTCTGGGCAGAAGTGGTAAACACTGCATGCTACATCATAAATATGTGCCTAACTAAACATCTTGTTGAAAAAACTCCATATGAGTTACTTAAAGGGAGAAAGCCAAATATATCCCATCTTAGGGAATTTGGATGCATATGTTTTGTTCACAATAATGAAAAAGACTACCTAGGAAAGTTTGATCCTAGAAGTGATGAGGGAGTATTCTTGGGACATATAAGATATATAATAAAATGCCTATGTGTGTAGAAGAAAGCGTGTATGTGATTTTTGATGAAACTAACACCCTTTCTAGAAGGTAGGAACAAGATGATGAAGAGATTGGACTAATAAGAAGCTGAAATGGTGAAACCGCAGTCCAACCTGAAGCTACATCATAAGAAGGAACAGGTGATGGACTGGGTCCTTCCACCTAGGGCAATCTGATAGGGGGAACTGACCAGAGAAGAATTGATCCTCAAACCTCGAGGGAACCTATCCATGAACTTGTTCTCAACAACAAAATAATGAAGGAATATAGAAAAAATCAGTTAGTTGTGAATTCTTACAAGTATCAAAGTTCTCATCTCATTGGGAACATAATCATTGATCCAATCTCTGGAATCAAAATCAGATCTTCTTTAAAGAATCTCTGTGTTTTTTTTATGGTTTCTTGTCTCTTATTTAACCTAAAAAATATTTTTGAGCTTTGCAGGATGCAGATTCGATGAATACAATGCAAGATGAACTTAACCAATTTGAAAGAAGTGAAGTTTGGCCTTTGGTACCAAGACCCAAGGACAGAACAATGATTTTCACTAAATAGGTCTTTAGAAATAAACTTGACGAAGAAGGAACAATTACAAGGAACAAGGCAAGATTGGTGGTTCAAGGATATACTCAAGAGGAGGGCATATACTATGATGAGACTTTTGCTCCAGTTGCAAGATTAGAAGCAATTAGACTTTTTATAGCTTTTGCTGCTTACATGAAATTCACTCTTCATCAGTTGGATGTCAAGAGTGCCTTCCTCAGTGGCTATTTAACGGAAGAAGTATTTGTCAAGCAACCTCCTGGCTTTGAAAGTAAGGAATATCCTGAGCATGTGTACAAGCTTGACAAGGTACTTTATGGGCTTAAGCATGCCCCAAGATAATGGTATGAAAAATTGTCCAAATTCCTGCTTTAGCATGGCTACATGAGAGGTAAAATTGATAATGCTTTATTCTTGAACGAAAAAGGTAAAGATATCTTGGTTGTTCATATATATGTTGATGATATAATCTTTGGAGTAACAACTGATAGGCTAAATAAAGAATTTGCTAAGCTAATGGGGAGTGAATTTGAAATGAGTATGATGTGTGAGTTTAATTTTTTTTAGGCTTAAAAATTAAACAAACTTCAAATGGAACTATGATTCGTCAATAAAAGTTGGATTGACACTCCTATAGCAACAACTACAAAGTTGGATTTGGATGAACCTGGTTCATCTGTTGATTAAAAAATGTATAGGAGAATGATTTGCTCTTTGTTATATCTAACTACTAGTATATTTGATATTGTTTTTAGTGTAGGACTTTGTGCTAGGTTTCAGAAAAATCCAAAAAAGTCTTACTTGCATGCAGTCAAGGGGATTTTGAGATACTTAAAAGGCACAACTGATCTTTGCCTATAGTATCCAAAAGGTAGTAATTTTGCCTTTGTGGAATATACTGATACTGATTATGCAAGTTGTTTTGTGGATAGAAAGAGTACTTCATGTATGACACATTTTCTTTGCTCATATCTTGTATCTTGGGCAACCAAAAAGCAAAACTATGTGGCCTTATCTACTATTGAAGATGAGTATGTAGTTGCTACCTCATGTTATGCTCAATTGTTGTGGATTAAACAATAAATAATAGACTTGGAATTGATGTAGGTTGTATCCCTATCTTTTATGACAATACAAGTGCAATCAATATGATCAGGAACCCAGTCCATCACAAAAGAACTAAGCACATAGATGTTAGACATCATTTTCTAAGGGAAAATTTTGAGAATGGTATGATCACTGTGGAATTTTATGCTACTAATAAGCAAATTATTGACATATTCACAAAAGCTTTGAGTAGGGATCAATTTGAAAGGAACATGTTAGAATTAGGGATGATTAAAATCAACTAAAAGAAATCAGTTCTAACTCAATGATTGGATCTATAATTTGTGAATTTTTACAAATAATTAGATTAGATATTGTTCAGTCTCATACTTTGTTTAGTATACTTTTATGCCATGTACTAAAATGTCTCACTCATTTCTAATGATATTGCCATTATTTTCTTGAAAAATTCAGTCCTACATAAGTGAATATTTAGTGAAGAACCTGATTCATCGAACTTATAAAATATGTATTCTACACTTCGTATAAGTTGAAATAACTGAATATGAATCACGATCTGAAAAAGAGTCCCATTTTATCCCTAACTCTTTTAAAGCAAATCAGTTACAAACGAACCAATTTTACCACAAGAATCCACGCGCCATAATTGCCGAGATCTTTGGGAAGAGTCCAATGTCTTTTCAAACTGAAACTCCCAATGAGAAAAGATTTCTAGACTCCAAAAAGCTACCATTAGATACTCAACCTCCTCATCTTTAAATTGATCTGACCTTACCCTCTTCCTTTTATCTCAAATTTTCTAAAGACTAAAATCTTCAAAACCCTATATTTCTCTCAAATTCTTTCAAGTCTCTAAATTGATCAGATGGCTAACACACCTGAGAACCCGAAGAACTCTGAAAATTCTTTTTCACCATCCAAAGAACCTTCACTCACACCTTCAACTATCCCCCCCTCCCCCCCCCAATAAAACATGTGAAAATGATGGCGTGCAAAATAGTAGCAAGCATAGAACAAGCCAAGAAGTTATTAAGATATTAAAAGCTAATCATGCAGAAGAACCATGAAATTATGATGATTCTTTCCAGTCTGCGACTGAGGGGGAACTAGTTTCGTCTGAAACTGAACAAGTAAATTCTGGGTTAAAATCTTCAACTGTTGGTTTGGAAATTTCATAAAATCTTGAGAATCAGTTTGTGTTGGTTGGTTCTATTGCTGGTGTAGAAAATAGAGATATTGGTACTTAAAATATTGGTGGTAAAAATAAAAAGGAAAAAGAAAAGAAGACTGAGGGAGTTGAGGCAGATGTGAGGGGAAGGGAAGATGAACGAGTGGCTTGATATACTTCACCTACTCATATAATGATGGATGAGAAAACATGGATAATGGGTGTGTGGAGTGAGGAGAGTGCCGATAAGGAAGAAACCTTGGAAGGGAGACTCAAGAAAGAGGTAGTGAATCTGGTGACACTAATGGAGCTGAAGGGTTGGTTAGGTTGAGGAAACAGTTCAAAAAACCTGTTCCTTCTAGGAAAGAACCCCTTCATGATTTGATACAGAAAGTTTCTGACAACTACAACCTCAAAAAGAAGAAAAGTTTGGTGTTAAAACCCATGAAAAATGTATGGGTGGCAAGAAGAGAAAGGCTGCCTCTTTTATCTCTATAGAGACTCTTCCTACAAGAGGAAGAGTCTACAAGGATCCAGAAGAAGCAGAGTGAGGCCAACTTAAAAAGGGCCTTAGTTGAGAGTGCCAAGAAGGCTGCTGCCAAGTGGAAGAAGAAAGTTGGAGAAATAAATGAGGCACTTCAGGATGAGGATGAAGCAGAGGAGGTGGAAGCACCCACTCCCAGTACTAAGAAAAGAAAAACTTCTCAGAATAAGTCTCAAGAAAAGGCTGCTGAGGCAGAAGACTCTATCTTGTCCAAGAGAACCTGGTATGCTAGAAAATCCAAGAAAGTTCAAGTAGTTGAGAAAGAAAGTGAAGAAGAGACTGATGGGGATGAAGATAAGCTGGTAAAGTTCTAGAAAAAGACCATTTCGAAGGGTAGGTTTCATCGTGATTTGGAGGAAGAAAGAATGGTTTTGCTGTTGGAAAAACTGGAGTCACAAGGATGGAAGGACATGGTCCTTCAGTTGGAAGGAAGGTTGGCCAGGGCAAAATTGTAGAATATTTTGCAAATTGTGAGGTAGAAAATGGATTGGTCCCCAGTGAGGTTAAATGAGTGAAAATAAGCTTTGATGATAAGAAGCTTAGGGAGATTCTAGGTATACCCATTGAGGGGTATAATAATTATACAAAGCTAAAATGGCTAGTCTAGATGATCTTCCCACATCACTAGTTATCGCAAAGAAATTTGCTGATAATAACTTGGATGAAGAACCCAGAGCTGTATACAAAAGTGAGAAGAAGCCATCTCACAAGGCGCTCTTTGAATTTGTGAATAAGGTGGTTCAACTCAGGCAGGAAAGAAGGCATGTGGCTACCTTCATAGACCTGGTCTTTATGGAATGCCTAGAGAGTAACAACCAGATTAATTGGACAACGTTCATAATACAGCTCCTTTATAGGGTTGTTTGTGGCACCAAGACTCTGCTTGCCTCCTTTAAGGTTCCTCTCACGAAATGGGATGTATGTATTAATAAAGATTACTTTGGGGCCGAAACTTAGACTGATTGCGACTAACATGTCCAAACTGCACCCAAAGAATCTTGTTCATCTAAGAGGGTACCTAATAACAACAAGGTTAGAGCATTGGAGCAGAAGAGTAGGGCTAAGGATGCTGAAATTGAAAGGCTAAAGAAACGATTGGCAGAAGTAGAAGCTAAGAGACTCTCTCTTAAGTCTAAGCTGGCAAAGGAGAAAGAGAAGAATGATTGTATTCTTCAAGATATGTTGAAGTTGCTTCAAGCTAAGAACCTGGTCCTTCACAGTCCTAAACCTTTCCTAGCCCAGTTGTAACCAGTTCATTTTTATGACCCAAGTGAGATTTCTCTATTTTTGCTCATGGTTCTTTGTTTTTATTTCTTCTTATGCTCTATGTAGGATCTTATCAATCAATTAAATTTACTGTTTTTGCTCAAATTATTTGATGTTGATATTTCTTAGATGTCTAATATCCTTAGATTGAAAAAGCAAAAATTGAATCCATGATTGCATTTGAAATAGCACAATATTTGGTAAAATCTATTTACTTAACTTAATTATGCAACTTTTCGTTGATGCCAAAAAGAGGAAGATAAGGTGTGCTTTTGCTTTAGACCGTGATGTTTACAACATAATGAACTTGGTGCTCGATGATTTGTGACTTTAAAATAGAAAGTATTCTGACATTGTATTTGATAATGAGCTGAGTTAAAACAAATTCCATACATTCGGAAAGCACATTGTTTTTCATCATCAAAAAAAGGGAAAATTATTAACCGGAGCGGTATAGGTTTTAATGATTCACAAAGGATCACATACATAAACCAGGTCCATGGACACTGTACACAGGTTAGGTCAGAATCAATCAAAAGGTACGCACGTACAAGGGATAAGTATAAGTGGTTATTTCAGATAATCCCTAAATGAAAAGATTGCATATTTGATAAGGAACATGACTCCTTACTTGAAGTGAACTCTATCTAAGATAAGGAAATAGTTAGATATTGAAGTTATCTAGAACTCTTCCACCAAGGAAGAGTAAAACATTAGATCTCTAGTTAATCCTAGTCCTGGTAACTCTCTCTCTCTCTCTCT